TTGATATAGAATCATTAATTACGTATACAAACCTTATAAAAAACGTATCATTTCCTTATTTCGATTTCTTATAGGGACTATATATACTTAAAATTGCAAAGAAAAAATTAAGTCAACTTATTGAAAACAAAAAGATTATCTGCTATGATAAACTAAAAGACCACTGTTTCTCTTTAAACATCTGGATTTACATAAATATATATATAATTATATAAAGAAAATCTATGTAAAAATCTTAAAAAAATATGAAATTTATATAGTAAGAATCATATTAAAAAGTTATCTTTTATATTATCAATCAAATTCAATTGCTATGAAAGCATATTATATATCATGATTATTAGAGTTTTATATATTGAAATATGTAAATATCCTGATAGCTATTATTACCTTATATCGGTAAAAAGTACAAAACATTTTTACTAATATTTTAATTGTTACCTTCTAAGATAACAAAGTAAAAATCAAACTTATAATACATATAGTAGATCGTACATTTCACATATTACAATTTATTAATGAATCTATAACTTAGCAAATTATGATTTTCCTATGAGTTTAGACAAAAATTAATTTGATCAATATATTTAATTATAAATCCATATAAATCTAATGACAAATTACAAATAGGAAAGTTAATGATTTTTATATATCTTTAATGGTCTCTTGATACATCTTCACTTATGTATGTAAAAGACCTGAAAAAACTTAATTTGAATTTTTAATATAATATTATGCTGAAAATAAACAAAAGTATTTGATCAATATGAATTTTATTAGTAGACAAAGAATCAGATAAGAATCTTAGGTATTTAAAAGCCTATTGTTAGCTTTTCAAAAAGTTTAATTTGAATTTTTTAAGTATCTAAATACATATCTCAGATCAATTAAAATATAATTTATTTAAAAGAAGTATGGTAATATTATCTGATAAGTTTGTTGGTATCATATTATCAATTGATTATTTTATTATACATTTGAATACTTAATAAAATGTTAAACATTTAGATCCAATTTAAAGGAATAGAAAGAAAAAAGGTTGAAGAATTAAAATGAAGAGAAAAAAATCAAATGATATAGATAAAAAAATAACATATACCTATTATAAATGTTTTGTTCTATAATCTTGAATTGAAATTTACAATAATTTGTATATCTATTCTTTTGATATCAAATAATGTACAAATGACAGTTGTTGTAAATCACTCAAAGTCAAAGAAGTCATAGACTTTTTTACCTATATGATGACTTCTTATTGCTAATTAACAAAGCCAAAGATAGCTGATTCACAAACCTGATTCACCTTCTTTTATATAGAAATCTTCTAGAATACTAAAAAAACACATATGACTTTGCTGTCCTATTTGTCAGAAATATTTTTCTACTCTTATATTTTTAATAAATCATAATTAATGTACCTTACTATCTGAAGAAGGTCTAACAGAAACAAAACTCAGGTTTCAATAATTTTCCTCTTCTTCTATTTCAATAAAAGAGGTTGTATGATGAAATGAAACTTGGACCAAGAGCTTATAATTTGGATGGAGAATGAGTAAGTTTTATAAGGGTGTGTTTAAATGTATGCGACAATAAATTTATATTGCTATATAAGTCCATATAATAAATGTATGTTTAACAAGCCACTTTTATCAAAAGATTATGACAGTGTTATTTGTAATTTAAGCAATTAATGGTATAAATGAAAAAAAAATAAAGTTATATTATTTTTGTATGGTTTTAGCAAAGTGGTAGGCATTACAATATATTTGTCTCGTTCGTGTGACAGAAAAAAAAAATAGACACATGAACCATTTCACTTTTGAAATGATATATTATCGCAGTACGAAGATAACTTGCGAAAATGAATACTTATCTTTTCGTTCCAGGATTTTGAGGAACTTATTAGCATCACGAAAAGCCTATAACATAAATTTTCGGCGGGTTTTACTAAAGCTACTGTTATTCATTTATTACTGATACTCAAGACAGGTCGTAAAATTAACAAATTTTGTCCACTATACTATTGATTAATAAAAATCATCAAACGCATATTTAATTATATATAATATTTGATTAATTAAAAAGATTGCAATTATTATTAAGTTTAAAATCTAATTCTATACAATTAAAATGATTTTTTTTTTGATATTTTAAAAACTCATTATGATACATGACGTTCCTCTGAACATGAACGAAGAAATCCTCTTTGATAATACTATTTGTCTTACGCCCAATGGCACTTTACATAAAGGTGGTATATGGGGCCTTTGCAATAGAAAGGGGGGAAACTTCCGGGAAAAATAAATTTTAATTTTATATACCAAATATGATTTTCAGGCCGAAATATGTTCAAATTTAGCATTAACTCATTTTTTATTTTTCCGGCAGTTTCCCCCCCTTTCTATATTGATATTTGAAAGACCCATTATGATATATATATATTGATATTTGAAACTTTTTTATGTTAATGACTAAAGTTATTAAGAAGAGTATTATTGAAAAAAGTTAAATGGATTCTACTTTTAATTAATTATTTAAAATGAATAAGATTTTCATATCTTAGTCAATGATATTCTTGAAATTCCAGATGATATTCATTTTTTTCTTCGGTCCTTAATCTGAAGATAAGATTTTACTTCTTTACTGTATATGGAACTAATGACCGATATATTAGATCATGCTTTTTAACTTGGTGTATGATTAATTTTGTTCATTCATTGCTTTATTGATTTTATATCAAATATAAATCGTTTTTGTCGAACATTAGAAAAAATGCGCAATGCTTCGGACCCAATTCTTGCAGAAAACAGAGAATTTTATGCTACGGTGTTCTCATCAAAGAATGAAATTGCTGATGCGAGTACCTCGGGGGGTGTATGACAAAAAATTTCAATTGAACTGTTGGGGCAATAGTTCAACCTGGGGCCCCATTACACTAATGACCTAACGATTTACATACTCCACAATTTTTTATGGATATTATGTCATAGCTCGGGCTATCTCTTTTTATCAAAATGTGTTGGTTGAATGTGAGAACTTCCCTTATTTTCCAAATAGTGAAAATTAAACCATATAAAGATCAAGTGCCCAATAGACACATGATAAAAACAAATCGCTCACGGGAACGATTTGTTACAAATAATCGTATTTGAATTCTTTTTTTGATTTCCATTATGAACACCTTGATTTACTGCGGTCTAACGAATAGTTTTCTCAATTTGATGAAATTTGGAACGGAAATGTGTCCTTTAACTGCAAAGATCAGAAATTAAATGCATGTGCTTCGAAAGCAGTGCGAGGCTTGCGTATTAACTCATAAACCATGTGATTCTAGTGTAAATTCACTCATATATATACAAGTTGCATCCCCCATAAATTTTTTTTTTCATATCGTGAGAAAAAAAAATTTTTTTTTTAATCCGATTTATAACATTTTATAAAATTTTATGTTAGAATCATGTCTCAACTCAGCGGAAACGAAAAAAAACTTGGCAGCAAAGAAATCATAAACCTTGAGCAAACCTATGGTGCTCGCAAGTAAGTATCTATCTATTAAATTTATAACTTAATTATTTGAACATCTTAATCAATTGATCGTTTATTCATTTTCTTTAGCTATCATCCATTGCCTATGGTATTTTCCAAGGCTGAAGGACCGTATGTTTGGGACCCGGAAGGCAACAAATATATGGACTTCTTATGTGCCTACTCAGCTGTAAATCAAGGACATTGTCATCCAAAAATCGTCAAGGCTCTCTGTGACCAAGCTCAAAGACTTACTTTAAGTTCGAGGGCTTTTTATAATGATGTGTTTGGGAAATATGCCAAATACGTTACTGAGGTAATTATTCTAAATATTTTCCAAAAAAAAAAAAAATTTTTTTTTTAATCATTTCCATAATTTCAGTATTTTGGGTACGAAATGGTTTTACCTATGAATACTGGTGCCGAGGCGGTCGAAACAGGTATAAAGCTTGCAAGGAAATGGGGGTATCTCAAAAAGGGAATACCCGAGGACAAAGCTATTGTAATCTCATGCAGGAACAATTTCCATGGTAGGACGATGACTGCAGTCTCTATGTCAACTGATTCAGATTCACGTGTAGGCTTTGGACCTTATGTACCCTGTGTAGGACCGGTTTGTCCTGTTACCAAAGAGGTCGTTGAATATAATTCTATTGAGGATTTGAAAAAAGCTTTAGAAGCACACGGTCCACATATAGCTGCTTTTTTAGTGGAACCAATTCAAGGTGAAGCTGGGTATGTAGAAACCTAAATAAATAGTTAGTTACATATATATATAAATTATTGAACACGATTTTGTTAATGAATTTCATATTATCAACAGTATTAATGTTCCAGATGATGGATATCTGGGAAAAGTGCATGAGTTATGCAAGAAGCACAACGTTCTGCTGATTGCAGATGAAATTCAAACAGGTTTAGCACGCACTGGTAAGATGCTTTGTCAAGAACATGATGGAGTTCGAGCGGACATTGTTTTACTTGGTAAAGCACTCTCAGGTGGCATCTATCCGGTATCAGCAGTTCTTGCTGACAGGTATATTATGTCGTGTATCAAACCTGGAGAACATGGTTCAACATATGGGGGAAATCCACTAGGATGTGCTGTTGCTATTGCTGCACTTGAAGTAATTAAGGAAGAGAATCTCGTGGAGAGAGCGGCTGTTCTAGGAGAAAAATTCCGTACAGCTCTCCGAAATATAAATTCTCCATTAATTCAACTTGTTAGAGGCCGAGGTCTCTTAAATGCCTTAGTGATTGATGAAAGTCAGTCTAATAAGACTGCATGGCAATTGTGTTTGTTGCTCAAGTCACGAGGGTTATTAGCGAAACCTACTCATGTTAATATCATTCGCCTCGCCCCCACGCTAAATATTTCCGAAGAAGAATTAATGCGAGGGGTTCAAATCATTGAACAGTCCTTGAAGGACGTTGTTAATATGAAAGCTGAAGATATTCCAGGATTCCTGGAAGATTTGAAACAATCTCAACATTAAATATATAACATAAAGGTTCATTGACGGACTTTTTTACATTGTCAAGTTTTAAAGACATTTAATAATAGACAGACTAAAAAAAAAAAAAAAATAAAAGGAATTTAAAAATTTTTTCATGCTTGGATTCATAAAAGCAATATAATATAATATATATATATATATATATTTTGCATGTTTAAGTAGGCAAATAATTATAACATTAATAAAGGTTACTTCAATTGAAAAAATTTTATTTAATACAATTTTTATTATAATTTCTTGAGCAATTAATATTAAAACATCATTAATTAATAAAAGAAACCTATAAATTAAAAGTTAAAAGTACAAAAATTAATTAATTTATAACCGATTGATTGGGCCAATTGAAAAACCTTTTAAATTTCGCGTACCAATAATTTTACCACCAGTATGTTTACGTCTGGCTTCGTGGTGATCCATAATGCCAGCGCTTGTAGTCAACACTATTTATGATTAAAGAAACAGAGAAATTTTAAAAATGAATAATTAATTTAAAGATATATTATAAATATATTTTTTTAATTTTACCTAAATGACCGAATTGACGAGATGGCAACAGATTATTAACCCATTTCTCAATATCTTCCAATTGAATGTTGAAGCGAGGAGAGATGACGCCACATTTATTTAAACGACCGTTTAATTGAATAACTATTTTACCAGAACGATGATCATCAATTTCCTCAAATTCGCCAATGTATTCTATGTATAAAACAAAAAGAAATATATATTAATATGAATTTATATTCTTGTTTTTTAGTGTGACCAAACATTAAAAGTCAATACGTATAAATGACATTAAAGACGTATTGGCGTGTAAGTATTTGGATGATATTCTCTCGAAGCATTAAAAAACAAAAGTCCAAAAGAGAAACGATTAAATGACTTTTGTTCAGTTATAACTCCGATGGTATTGTTAAGGCCAAACATCGGATTCAAAATAAAAATATAAAAAATAAAGAATGAAATGTACCATGCTTTTGCATAACACGTAAGAACTTGACTACGACCTTTGAAGAAGGTCGAACAAGAACCTGACGTTTACCACGCTTTTCGGCGTTAACAATGTTATTGAGACAATCATTCTGCAAGTAAAAGCGAAATTTGTTTAATATGAATTTTTTAAAAAAAAAAATTTATGATCTGATTATTAAAAATTTAACATTACCAAAACCGAAATTTTAACCATCTCGTCTTATTATATTATATCAAATAGTTTTCGTGACTTGCTAGTTAATCTATATTTGTTTTTAATTTCCCCCAATACATAAATAAAATACATCATCATGGGAAAAAGTGGGAAAAAGAGAGAAAAAGAAAAGCTATCATGAGTGTCGCCCTTTATTGACATTTTTAATTATTATTTTAGTGAGCGATTCAAGCAGCGTAAGGTTACAAAGGGTATCATTTTTCTTTTCATAAATGATTCCTTTGCAACTAAGTATAAAGAAGATCATGAATATGATAATTTTTTTAAAAAAAAAAAATCTCGATCCTTATTAAAAAAAAAATGGTTTCTCATCAAATTAACATTCCAAGATACCTCAAACTTATTTAAATGAGTTTTAAAAAGGGATGAGGATGAATGATATTTAATGAAGAATCTTCATGATTAATATCATTGCTCACCTTCTAAAAAAAATTACCACTAGAAAAAGAGGAAGTTGTCGATATCGAGTTTTCATGTATAATTTGAATCAAAAATTCCGTGCCGTAATCAACCAATGAAAAAGTTCAGATGAAATTTAAAATTTTTCAGCCAATCTTATTCGTAATAAGAAAAATAGAAAGACGTCACCATGAATATCATGTTTTTATAAATTCAAGCGAAAAAAACTCTGCAACCAGTTATTCAAAATGCCGACTGTTCATGTAGATAAGGAAGAATTTTACAAGGTGCTTGGAAGAAATTATTGTGAGTCTTTTAGGAACTTCATTGTCATATAAAGTTTCGGAACATTCGTGTCAACATAATAGCGCGCAATATCTATATTACTCATTTTGAAGAGAATGCTGACGCATAACTAGGCTAGGAACAAACACTTGCTGGACAATTTATTGATTATCTACTTAATAATTTTTTAGCTACAGAAGAATTTCGTGAATTATGTTTCGAATTCGGCATTGAACTGGAAGAAGACGTATGTTCTATGATTGATCGATGCAGTTTTTTGCCAATAAATTGTTAAATGTCTTTATCATTGGTCTAAGGCAGACCTCGGAAAAAGAATTGTCTATCAGGAGAGTAGGTGCTGCCAAAGCTGGTGATTTATCGGAAAGGCCTACCTTAAAGATTGATATTCCTGCTAATAGGTAATTCGTTTAAATCTTTTTTAAATTAAATAGGCATCGAGTTGCTTTTTTTCTTTTGAAAACTTTTGATCAAACCATTTATTTTGAATGATTTGTGTCGTCAGATATGATCTCCTTTGTCATGAAGGTATTTCTCGCGCATTATTAATCTTTCAAGAAAAAGCACAGCCACCCGTTTACAAATTACTTGAACCTGAGAATGGTCGAGCACAAATAATCGTAAAACCAGAAGTAGGTCAATTTATATATTGCGGTAATTTATTTATGATGATTGAAATTATTCATGATAAAGTCTTCTTTTGTAATTATATTTAGACTGCAAAAATTCGACCTTACATTGTTGGTGCAATACTGCGGAACGTTACATTCACAGAGAGAAATTACAATAACTTCATCGATTTGCAGGATAAGTTACACAACAATCTCTGCAGGTAGTTAACAAACACTATTTTTTACATAAATTTTGGCGCAGCAAAACAATAACAACAATAATAAAAAAATATATCTTTGCTTTTACGTTAATCAATATAGAAAGAGAACCCTTGTTGCCATCGGAACACATGATTTAGACACACTTAAAGCACCTTTTACATATGAAGCTCTTCCTCCAAAAAGCATCAAATTTGCACCATTGAACCAGCCCAAGGAATACGATGGAGAAGAATTGATGCAATTTTATGAAGTGAGAATCTTTTCGTGAAATGTTACTTTAACGAGATTTATTAAGTTTTTATTGTAATCGTAATCTCTAGAACGATAAAAATCTTGGAAAATTTCTTCATATTATTCGCGATTCTCCAGTGTATCCTGTGATTTATGATGCAAATCGCGTAGTTAGTTCTTTACCTCCAATCATTAACGGCGAACATTCAAAAATTAAATTGAATACGAAAAATGTTTTTATTGAATGTACCGCAACGGATTTAACAAAAGCAAAGATTGTATTGAATACAGTTGTAACAATGTTTTCCGAATATTGTGCAGAACCCTTCGCGTAAGTGACACTATTATTTACACTTTTCTTTTAAATTCAATTATTTAGTTAACCAAAATTTTCCTGACAAGAAAGTGTAGAACCTGTAGAAGTTATTTATCCAGATGGCACAAAACATACTTATCCGGATCTTTCACCTCGCTCCATGAAAGCCAAAGTTGATTACATTAATTCGTGCATAGGTGTAAAGATCACCCCATCAGAAATCATAACGCACCTAAATCGTATGACTCTTGGCGCAAAACTTGCTAACGAAGATGCAACCGAGATTTTAGTAGAAATACCACCAACTCGAGCAGATATTTTACATGCTTGTGATATTATGGAAGATGTAGCTATAGCTTTCGGATTTAATAACATTCCAAAAACTTTACCAGGTAGTACCACAATTGGTAAAGCGTTGCCTATCAACAAATTGAGCGATTTGGTTAGGAAAGAAATTGCTATGGCAGGTTGGACTGAAGTTTTGCCCCTGATTTTGGTAAGTTTTTTTTTTTTTAAAAAAAAAAAAAAGAAAAAGAAAAACAGAAAAATAGCGTTTAAATGGTAGCCTTTTGTTTAATACTTCATATATATTTTTTTATTCAAGTGTTCACATGATGAGAACTTTGCGTATTTGAATAGAAAAGATGATAATGCTACAGCAGTAAAATTATCCAATCCAAAAACCTTGGAATATCAAGTTGTTCGTACTTCACTTTTGCCAGGAATTTTAAAAACTGTAAGAGAAAATAAAAAACATGCATTGCCTATTAAAGTTTTTGAAGTTTCTGATGTAGCCTTTAAGGATGATTCTTTGGAGAGGAAAGCAAGGAATGAAAGGCACGTTTGTGCTATTTATTGCGCAAAAGTTTCAGGGTTTGAGGTAAAAAAAACTAAGTTGAGAAAAATTAGTGGTAATTTACAGAGAGATTAACCTGATTATTATTAAACACTATAGTTCATTCATGGACTTGTTAACCGTCTTATGGACATGCTTCATATTAAACTTGTTTCCGCTAGCGGAGATGATATTGGGTATTATATTAAAGAATCAGAAGGTGCATTTCACATGTATATTGTGTTTATAATCTTGATGTTCTTTTTATTAATATTTCTTTTTCTTTATTGACAAGTAGATCCAACATATTTTCCTAATAGATGTGCGGATATTTTCCTTCGTAAACCTTTTAAATCATCTAATTCATCATCAATAGTAACAAGTAAAATTGGTAACTTTGGTATACTTCATCCTAATGTATTAGAACATTTTGAAATAGTTTATCCTTGTTCAGCTGTGGAATTTAATTTAGAGTCATTGCAATAATTTATTTTTTTAAAAAAAAAGGTAAATAAATAATAATAATAATACGTTTAAATATATAAAATGATATTTATTATATCTTTTTTTTTTTATGTTTTTTATGGTTTATTCTCTGCATAATGCTTTTGAAATTATTATTTTTTTTTTCTTTCACATCTATAAATTTGAAACGTATCGCAGCCGAATTAAACTATACTAATTTTTTAGCTTCGAAAAAGCCTTTCAAATGTCGTAATTGCCATAAGCACGTAACACCAAGGACAATCAATTGTACAATAGTCCAATAAACAACGCGTGAATTGGTAAGTTCCGACTGATCACGGAATTCAGCTTCGCGTTCCTAATGAAATTAACAAATGTAAATAACCCTTGTCAAAAGTGAAATCAAGATCTTGTGAGTTTATAAATAATTGTATACTTACGCGTTGAAAACTTTGTTCTCTACGAATATCTGAAACACGGTGATTCAAATCGCGTACTCTTTGTGCAAGTTCTAAAAACGAAAAAAAAAAAATTTAATTTAATTTCGATTATATATAAATAAAATTTTCCAAAAAAAACCTACCACTGAAATGTTCTCTATCGTTTTCTTCTTCACTTGTCGCATCTCCAATGGCCATATCTAAATGTAATTTCTTGATTAAAAATTTTTTTGTTGAAGTTAGTTCAAATCTACCACATTAAATAATATTTTAACCAATTCAAATATATGTTAAACTAACTATTTGACTATTTGAAAACCAAGCTGAAGAATTTGTAGTCAAACAAATTGCATGTTCTCCAGATTCTGCGGCTGTGAAAGTGAACCTCCCACGACTTGCACCTTTTTGATTAACAATTCGATGCATTACAGGCAATTCCTGTTGAAATATAAAAACAATTAAATCTTTAGCTCCAAATTAAAAAAAATTTTTTTTTTTTTAAAAGCAAATGTATTCACCTCAACGGTTATTTGTATTCCTAGTTGAGGGTTTTCAATATATTGCTGCTGTGTTTCTGACCATTCCTCAGCTTTATATGTACCTTTATACATAAGAAAGAAGTTAGTTAATCACGATTTTTTTTTTTTGATTAAAAAAACATAATTGTGTTAAAGAAATGTATAATTATTTTCAATTATTTACCAACAACAAGAGTATCTTTAGGCAATTCTTCAAGGAAACATTTTTGTTCTGTACCCTCCAAATAAAAATATAGAGATGTAGCTGGTTTAATTAAATTAAATAAAATGATGGTATATAACAAGACGGGGAGTATAATCTTTAATCGAGTTGAGTACATCTTAATTACTGTAAGATTTGAGAACCTAAAAAACATGAAAAAAAGAAAATCAAAAAGGAATTGTTTAAAATTTTTTTATATCCGACAGCTGTCAAATTTGGATTCGACAATTCCAAAAATTCCAACGTTACATCCAATCACGTTTTCAATTTTCTAAGATATTAAGGTAAGCTTATTCTATTTTTATATAAATTTAAATCTGATGTTTGTATTATACTCATTAAACAGTTTAAAAATTAAAAAATATATATATATAAAATTATTCTATTATTTCGCTTTTTACTTTTTTTTTCAATTATCCTTACTATTTTTTCTATTAATAAAATAGCAAATGTATATTTACTTAGATTCAATTTAATTATTTAGTTAAGTTATACTAAATCAAATTCAAACTTATCTTTATATTTAGGATAAAGAAGTGATGTTCTTTAATTTCATAACATATCCTAATGCTTAATCTGTTCTATCATTATCGGAATAACCAATTAGGGATGTTAACGGTTAAAGATAAACCGGTTTTAAACTGGTTGTATAACCGGTTTGGCTTCAAGACGATAAATATCGGTTTTTATCACGTGATTCAATATGGTTAGACCATTAGTTCAACCGACGGTTTAACTGAATTTCAACTGCAGTTTCAACCATAGTTGATAACTTATTTAAAAAATCTAAATAATAAAGTTTTTATCATTATTTATCTAAAAAAAATTCGAAAAAGCATTAGTTTTTGAAACCAACAAAATAGAATTTTAATAACAAAATTTTTGTTTTTGCATGTTAATTGGTTCTATTATTTATTATAATAATGATATATAAATAAAATAAAAAATAAAACTACAAATAGAATAAATTTATAATTGTTAAAGTAATGCTTGCTCTTGGCCAGATATAGTTAGCCTATAACTGTTAATCCTAAACACTGCATAGAGGTGGCAAACTTCATTTAGAAAAATAATTTTTTTTTTTAACAAAAATCAGAAAAAAAAACTATAAAAAAAAACGGATTGTGAAATTAAAGGAGGAAATGGAAAAAGAAAAAGAAATGACAATAGTTGGAGAGAGTAACAGTTTAAAAGTTTGTTTTAAAAAAAAAATGTCAATAGCTGGAGTAATAATTAGGTTTAAAAAAAAGAATTATGTAAAGAAGTTTACAGTTTGTAATGGTATTTTGGTATTAGATAGTAAAGGTAGTGATGCAGATCTTCGTAAAGAAGGAGGATTGAAAGAATGAGAATTATTTAAATTTTCTAGTAAAGTAAATATAAAATTTAGTTTAAAATAAGTTAACTTAAATAACAAAACTTACAGCGCTCTAATTCAGATCACCTTCTTTCTTCTACTCAAGAAACTAAAAAATAAAAGGTTTGAATTTAATTATAAATATCAAACAGAATACATTTTTAAATACTTACCAGGTTTTTTCTAAAATGGAGTTTTAAATTGCGTTCCATATTTTTTACCAACTTTACTTCACCTTTCTTTTAGATTTCCTTTTGCATAAAGTTTAAATAACTAAAAATATTGATTATTTATAATTTTATTTTATACAATTAGATCATTTGTTTTTTTAATTAGGATTTTACTTACTTTATAATCCCTAATCATCCCTTTAAACTTTGCTTGACATTGCATCGCTGTAACGTTCATATTAAATTCTTCTTTGATCTTCTCCGTAATGTCTTTTCAAAAAGGTAACTTTGATCTTTCAAGCATGAACCAATATTCTTCATTTCTGTTTTTCTTTCTTTAATTAACAATTGAACTTTATTATTATTCTAATTGATTGTATTTGGTATTTTTGATAAATTGAAAATTTAAAAATTGTTAAATTTAATTTTTAAAATTAAAGAAAAAAGAAAAAAAATACTTATAATTTATATAAAATTATATTGACATATGTCAGAAATTTGAAACATTTTCAAATGAGTAATTCTATTTAGTAAAAATTATTTAATTATTGCAAATTTAATTATAATTCTATTTTTACATGTTACATGTATTCTAATTTATAAAATTATCTAATAATTACAATTTTGATCAAATTACTAAATTTTTATGTAATTTTAAATTTTCATTCTCAGTAGGAAATATAATTTTCAATGATAATATTCCGATAATCACCACTGATTCACCTTTGATTTATCCTTAGGTTTACCACTAATTAAAATTTCTGGATAATTAACAATTATTTTTTTAAATTTACATAATTTTTTAATTAAAATTTTGCCAATTTTATTATTTTAATTTATATTTAATGAGAACTTTATTTTAAAAAAAAATTAGTTAAATTGGCATTGGAATCAATGCCATTAAATTATCATTTTAATAAGTAACATTAAATTATTATATTTAAACACAAAATGTTAGATTTTTAATTGTATAATATTAGATTCTTAATCAACATTTTTTCACTCAACATGTCAAACAATAAAAATACCAGTATAAACTTTGAAGAAATAGAAGACTTTGATTTTGATTTTGATTTTGATAATAATATAAATGAATCATCTATTCCTGAATAACTAGAGCTCTAAATCAGGTCAGATTAATCTGTGATCTGATCTGATCCAATCTGAAAATCCAGGTCAGATAGACAAATTTTCAGGTCAATATTAGATCAGGTCAAGCTTATGATCTGACCTGATAAACTTCAGGTCAACCAATCAAATTAAACGAAATAAAATATTTAAAAAAATTTTTTTTTGATCTATTTTTTTTTAAAACATCTTTAATTTTATTTAATATACTTTCTTTTTATATTCTTATAAAGTTGTTAGTATAATTAGTTTGTAATTTATTATAATCAAAAAGTTAAATTTTAAATTATAAACATTTTTTGCAATTATATTGTTCAACAAATTAATTTTAATTTTTTTTTATCTGATCAATTAGTTCAAAGAGATATTTGAACACTTTAGTCAAAGAAAATCAACTTTTATCATATAAGTAATATTGTTTAGCGGTTTCAAAAATATATGCATATAAAGTTTTATTATTATTGAATTAATAGTTGTAAAGTTATAAATGTTTTTCATGATTGTATTATCTCACAAAATATTTTTATTTTTTTTATTCGTTTAATAAATTCAAAAGGAAATTTAAGCATTTTGAACAAAGAAAATCAACTTTGGTTGCATAAGTAAAGTTGGTCAGCAGTTTAAAAATATGTGTATATAAATATTTATTATAATTGGATTAATGGTTGTAAAGTTATGCACATTTTTCATAATTGTATTATCTTACAAATTTTTTATTTTTATTTTTTATCTGTACAGTGACTTCAAAGAGATATTTGAGCAATTTGATCTAGAGGTGTGATCCTTTCATTCAAAATCTGATTATATTATCAAAATCCGGATTAATGAATATAGTTATTTTTAACCAAATGATATACAGATTTAAAAAATTTTGAATAGATTTTCACCAAATTATCTGTAATAATCTATATAATTCGTTTAACCTAATATATATGCTATAGCACTATACATATTGTGTAATAATTTCTCTAAATTGTAAAATCTAAATATATTAATTTACTATATAAAGAATATAGAATAAATGCAAAATAAGACATTTTTTTTTAATTAAACACTTGGACCAATAAAAACAATAATTAATGAAGTTGAAGAACCTCATAATGATACTGAACCAAAGCAACTAAGCCATAAAAAGGTTAAGTTAAATGAAACCCATGGAGGAAGTAAAGTTAGAAGTTGGATTTGGAAATACTTTGAACCTCATTTTAAAGAAGGAGTAAGATATGCAATTTGTCAAGTGGAAGTAATAGTTGAAAAGAAATGTGAAAAGATCTATAAGGTTGATACATCCACTAGTAATTGCTCTGAACATCTTGCAAATATTCATAGAATAAACTAAAAAATAAGAGGAAGCTAATATTATAAGTGTATTTTTAATAATTAATTAATTTTTTAAATGATAATTAAGATTAAAAAAAGGGTTTAAATCAAAATCAAGATATTGTAAAAGCATTTTTCAAGAAAATTTATCATCAAGATTATCAAGAATCATGTTAACTTGAATTATGTTAATACCTTGCAGATTGGATTATATGTGAATATTAACCATTTACTATTCTTTTAAATCCAGCATTTAAAAGATTAATTTTTCAATTGGATTTGAAATTTCAAATTTCAAATCCAAAGTATATAAAAAAGCTTATTTATCAGGCATATAATTATTCAATGCCATTAATTATGGAAAAGCTGAAAAAGAAGCTAATTTAGTATCCTTAACTTGTGATCTTTGGATAGGAAGAAATCGCCAAGAATTTTTAGGAATAACATGCTCATATCTCGATCCTAAATTTTAACTTTATGAAATTATTCTTTCAGTCGAATATATTCCTTATCCTCATACAGCCAAAAATATTGGAAATTCATTATTAGCAACATTAGATGAATGGAAACTTTGAGACAAAGTTTTTATAATAACAACTGATAACAGAAAGAATATGCAAAAAGATATTAAGAATATGAAATCAGTAACAAATAATATTTTGTGGCAGCCTTGCATTGCACATACTTTGCAACTTGTAGTAAAAAAGGTCTAAATCCTATTAGAGTATTAGTTGGTCATGCTAAACGTCTTATTGATTTTTTTATGAGACTAAATCAATCAGAATGCCTTGAAAAAATTCAAAAATGATTTATACAGCTAGTAGATGAACAACAGGTTAATATTTGTTAATTTTATTATACATTTATTATTTTATTTTATGTGAAACTTTAATTTAAATTTAATATTAGAAATTCAGAACAATCTTCAAAATCACCTGTAGTAAGTTTTATTTTAATTATATTTTAAATTTTTTATAAAATTTTATATTAAAATACATTTATTTTATTTTAGAATGCCAGAAAGACTACAACATATTTAAGACATATTATTGCTGATATATCAACACGTTGGAACTCTAGTTATTTGGTTTAGTGTCAGCTTTTAGAATTAAAGGGGTACATTCGTATACTTGAAGCTAATTTGGCAGAGAAAACTGATAAAGATTCCAAAAAAGATTCTCAAAGATTAAAAATTATGCTTACCAATGATGAATAGGATTTACTCCGTGACTTGATTCCAATTTTAGGACTTTTTGAGAAAGTGACTAGGTATCTTGAAAGCAGCAATTATTCTACTCATAGTATAATGATACCTTTAATAGCTGAAATTATTAATAAGCTTAAGCCTAATGAAAGAAATGTAACAAATATCGATATTGAAAATTTGGAAGATATTTTTACATTAGATGAAAATCAAGATAATCTAGCTAATGCTAATAATGATGAAAATCAAGACAATTCAGCCGATGCTAATAAGAAAAAAATAAATTTAGATAAGCCTATGCAGACTTTAGGTATGTTAAAAAAGGTGAAAAATACATTATATCAAGCAATGCTTTTTTATTGGAATAATGATCATGAGATATCATACTTACCATCAATTCTTGATTCTCAGATTAAAAAGCTTGATTTTGCATCTTATGAAATGGAACGAACTCTCTGCTCTTTGAAAAAAAAATATGATGATATGAAATTTAGTATGTCATCACGTTTACCTCTACAATCTCCACAGTCTCCACAATTTCTTACACCTTTTACACCTTTTCCTACATCAACACCATCTACACTTTATTAGTCAATGCTTTTTGATATTTTTAAACACCCTTCACCTGTTAGTCAAAATGAACTTAACGAGTACCTTGTTATTCTACAAGTATCTTTCAATAATGATCCTTTTTCTTGGTGGGAAATCAACATGGAAATGTTTCTGATATTAAGCGAACTGGCACGTGTCTATCTTTCAGTATGTGTTACTTCAACTTCTAGTGAAAGGTTGTTTTCAGATTGTGGAAATTTAATGAGTCTTAAAAGAACACGCATCAGTTCAGAGTTTTTTAAAAGAATGATATTTTTAAAAAAAATTATAATATTTTGGATAGTATACATAAATCACCAAAAAACAAAGCATCTGAAAACCAAGTAATTAATATTATGTGAATATTAAATGTAATAGTTAATATTTTAATACTGTAATAATAATAATAATAATAATAAATTATTATAAGTAAAAAATAGAACAAAAAAAAATTTTAATGTGAAAAAAGAATCATTGTACTACTATAATCCGTTCAAAATCTGGCCAATACAGTCAAAATCTGTTCAATTCAGTCAAATCCGATCAAATTCAGACAATCTGAATGATCTGTATAATTATGCAGATGGAATTTTTTTATTGAACGGGTAAGGATTCGCATACGGATTCAATTTTTTGACCAAATACAGTACAGATTATTCGGATTTGACAGGATCATACCTCTAAGGTAGAGGAGGAGAAGAATTGTTATAATACAAGGACGCAGCACAGAAAATTTCATTAGGGGAATCTCTAAGACAATTTTTGATAGTGATCCTCTTTTCTTTTTTGAAATGAATTTTAAAGTTTCTGTTGGCGTTGATGGTAAAGGTACATGTTTTTTAGTAGTATCTGCAGGAAAGAATGCGCATCCTGAACAAGTATCTAAGAAGTGGATACCATCATTATTGGTAACACAAATAAAATATTGATAAGTAAAATGTGCAGTATCTGAACGATTACTGATAATGATGCCATAAAAAACAGATTGTAATATTGGATCCTAGTAAGATACTGACTTTCTAGAATGGGAATTGTCATTAATAGAAAATGGTAGGTCAAAATCTATAAGAGAATTATAAAAAAGAAGGGAAGTATCTAGTCTATATTCTAATTTAAATAATCTAGTACAAATGTTTTCAAAGACTATAGATTCCAAGAAATCAAAAAAAGGAATTCCCAAAAGACTGAGTAGCATGATTAAAATCTTTTAGAAAGAGATCAGATTTTGAAATCAAATGACATCAATCGGTTGAGGTTAGCTGTTCTAAATAAAAAAGTTTATGAATTGTTACTTGTGCTGTACTTTAGAAAAATTGTTGAAGGGGATAATTTTACACAAGAGACAATCATCCCCAATATACGATTGGTAAGATATGAAAAAGAAGAAAAAGTAAATTTTGAAGAGGTGGAGTTGATAAGACTCAAAGAAGCACCAATGTGATTTTGTATGATTTTTGATGAAAATAATAAGGCCAATATTCGAGTGGTGAAATGTAAAGAGCACATTGTGATTGTAAATTAAAGAGACTAATCGAAGAAATTCTTTCATAGATGGTAGAGTTGTTAAATTGAAAAGTAATGCACTAGAAAGGGATTTAATCTGTAAGGACCAAAGGTCATTTAGATTGTAAAATTCTTTAAAATGTAGCATTACATTAGGGGTTGTAGAAGTGAATTTGCACTTTCGTTTAAAAAGAATATGAATAGGATTGAAAAATTTGTCACATTCCTTCTTCGATAGAAGAATAAGTTGTAAATGATATTTGATTAAAGAACAAAGAACCATATTAATAATATATGAGATTTGCTTGTCTGTGAGAGATTTGTAGGTCATCAAGTTGACAAACTGATTGATATCTTGCTTTACTAAGTTTTTGACAAAGGTTTGTGATAGTTTGATATTAATCCAAACTTTCAAAAATCTAATTAAGTTCTTCTCAGGAGTGATATTTATTGTAGAAGAACTGAACTTTAGGTCGATACCATTGGATTGTGGGTGAGAGGTAGTTAAAAGTTTAGATTTATCTTTGTTGAGTGCAGATCTGGTGAAAGAGTAAAATTCTTCAGCGATTTTGAGATCTTCCTGTGAGCTAGCAATCTAATTTGTATCATCCATATAAGCGAGAAATGATATCATTTCAGATAACTGATGGGAAGACAGGTGGACTAGGTTAGTTGGACCATTATGTTTAATAGTGTATTCTTTATTTAGATTTGCAATTTCGCAGAGAAGAGGATCCAGGTAAATGCATTACAACAAAGGAGATATAACCTCTTCTTAAACAATACCAATTTTAACGTCATAATAATCTAAGATACCATATGCTGTGAACACAGCATTTTTTCTTGAGGTAAAAAGATTGATAATTAATTGTACAGCAAGTGGAGGTATTTTGATTCTGTCTAATACACATCTAAGATAGGTAAGGTCAACTCTATCAAATGCTTTAGATAGATCTTAAAGGAGGATCCAAATTTCCTTATTGTCTTTATTGGCATCTTCCAAAAGCATATTAAGAATTTTGATTGGTGGAACGGTTGAGCCACCAGGGAGGCCAGCAAAATTACCACCCTTTAGAATATAGTGTTTCTCAAGAAGCTTAGAAAGTCGATCATTAATAATTTTAACAAAACCCTTACGAGCGATTTTTAGGAGTGTGATAGGATGAGTTTGGGTGATATAACAATTCCATTCTGTTGGTTTAGGAATAGGATAGATATGAGCGATCTTCTATTCGTTAGGTATTTCTCCAATAGAGAAACATATGCTAATGAATTGCCAAAGTAAATGTTGTGTTTTAGAACCTAAATAGATAATCATTTTATTGGTGATTCCAGAGGGTCCAGCTGCTTTATTAGAGGGTAGTGATTTAAGAACAGATAACCATTCATCGAAAGTTGAAGGTTGCATCAGATTGGAGTACCAATTATTATTAATATATTCTTTAGGACGATACTAAGCTTTCCACTTTTGAGACATAGGACGAGCAGGAGAATTAGGAATGGCGTAGTTTTGAAAGTGATCAATGACAGCGTCCTTAATTTCAGCAGGATCAACAGTGAATCTACTATTACAAGTATTATTATTTTTGATGAACAGGTGGTTTAAAACAATAGAACGCTTTTTTCGATTTAAAATGAAGTCAATCAATTTAGATGTATTATTTAACAAATCATCATATCTTTTGTCAACCAGTTGTCAGATAGTGATTTTATTAAGTTTTAAAGTATCAAGTTTGGCTAAAGCTATTAAAAATCAATGCATGTCTTTAATATGTTATTTGACATCCATAATGTTATTTGAGTCAAGAGCCAGAGGAAAAGTATACTGAGTGAGTTTCATGTTAATGATGATTTTGTTGAGGTTGGAGACTATTTATAGCCAGACGAAGCTGGTAGGCCAAAGTTTTTGTAGTATTAGACGTTGTTTAAACATTAATAAAAATGAGTTAACTTTTTTGGCAACCCTTAAAGAGTCTGGGGTATCATATAGATGTTTTCTTTTTTTCATAGGTGTGATCTAAACATATGGTATTTTGCGTTTACTTGCTATTAAAGTTGTAGATTTAGCAGCAGACCACAATGAGTTCATATTAGCAAGGTTGTGTAGAAGATCCTTAAATTGGTCTAAATTATGATGATTATAATGAAAGTTAGTATAATCGGCAAAGCGAGATCACTGAGTTGGATTCATCACTTTAAAATTAAAGACGTATTGTTTATTCATTAAGAATTGTGAGGCTGCATGAGATTGACATCTAATATTTGTGAAACTGGCAAAGACTATGCTATAGTCTGACTTGTACATATTAGTAGTATAAATATATGAATAAAAAAAGTCTAAAATGAGATTTGGAGAGGCAAAGATAGAGTCGATACATGTGTTTGCATGTGTTGAAAAAAATGTGGGTTGGGGTGTATCATAACAAATGTCATATAAGTCCAAAAAAATTCAGAGTGAAAATTTGTTGATAGAAATTGTATCTCCAATGTAATGTTTATCCTTCATTGATGTGAGTCCAATATTTGTCAAGGTTTGCGTTAAAATCACCTAGAAGTATGATTTTGAAATTGTATTTTAGACCTTCTTTAATGTGATCATGAATTGTTCTATGCAATTTAAGGCATTCATTTTTAGTTAAAAAGCTGCAATTAGCATGTAGATAAATTGAGAAAATTCTTAGTTTGATGTGACCTGTGAAGAAGAGATCTACATAAATGAAACGGTCACTGTCTAGAAAGGTTTTTTGAACATAATTTGATCATATGCATTTTATAAGAAGGCCGACACCAGAATGGGTATTAATAGTAGAATTCCAAAAGGAAAAAAAATTGGGATTGAACTTGTTTTTGTAAGTTTGGTTGGATCTGTGATAAGTTTCAGTTAGACTGACAAAATCTGTGTCAAAATCTAAAAAAGTATCTTTGATTAATTCATTTTTTAAATCACATTGTAAGGAGTGAACATTATGGGTAGTGAAAGTAATGGTTAGTGAAATATTTGTGTTATTAATATTATTAGTTTGGGTGTTTATATTGTGTAAAAGAGTAGTATTTTTTAAATATTAATCATGATAAAAGTTGGGGAAGAGGGTGACAATTATTAGAATAACTTTTCGGAGAGAGATTGAAGTTGTGTTATCATGACATTCATTTATTCTTGTTGGGCCTTAATGATAGAATTTTGTTCATCAATGATCTTCTGAAGTTTAAGATTAATGGAACTAAGGCCAGAGTGAGTATTATCATCAGAGGAAAAGTCATTTAAATGAGAACATTTATTGTCATGGGAGGTAAAACTTGGTTTAAAAATGATTGGAATGATAGGTGATTGGGTGATAGGAGTAAAAGGTTTATGGAGAGGTGTAACTAATTGTAAACATTCTAATTTGGTAATTTGAACTTTAAGATCTGACATAGCTTTTTTCATATTAGACAACATGTCAAGAATTTGATCAAGTTTTTTGTTGGTATCATTTGTGTTATTAGGATTGTATATA